CCCACGCACCGGGCTCCGTGTTTGTTCCCATTCTGCAACGGCCTCGGAAGGAAGGAGTCCAGCCTTGCTCAGCAGGTGCCACTCCCCATGTCTCGCTGTGTGCCCGGTGGCGCCGGGGAGCACCGCGGTGTAACAGGAGACAGAGCTCAGGCACCACAGTAACGACGGGAAAGAGAGCGGAGTCACCGCAACCTTCCGGACCTGAATGTCTGACGCGAGCCTAACCAGAACTCCTAGGGTGAGAACCTACGGATGTATTAATAAAACAAAACTCTTCTCTAACTGGCCGACGACAGCAGCTTTCAATTCACATGGGCCTTTGACAGTTCCTTTCGAAGGGTTATTTCGATTGGATGAAGCTAACAAAATAAATTGTTCTCAAGTGTGCGTGTGTGTGCAGGCCTCAAGTATTACTTGGGGACAGCCCACCGTCTCAAAACTAAGCAGCTCGAGAACCTCTAGAGAAGATTTATGATCTCAGATACTCAAAACGGTCATAACATTTGCCACAGCAGTAATTAACGGAGGCTGCGGTCTACAACCACTGATATTAAGGATGACAGGCAACAAGAAATTATGCAATCAGAATTTTAATAACAAAGATACTATTTTTAACATGGTCAAATATACTCGGCTAAGTCCAGATTTTAAAAAACAAAAGAATCTAGCCCAACGGTACAACCATACAGCTTTATACAGAACATTCCATAGATCAACAGAAAATACATTTGAGCACAAAAATAAAAATATTTAAAGAGAATCTCTAAGCAGCATTTTATTTCTGCAAAACAGACATATATCTTGTACTGATTAAATATCTACAAGTGCTTTTCCTTTACAAAAATACATATATTCTTAATAGACGAAGTCATTAACAATGACCTGGTAATCTTTCACTTCAATTTGAATGATTTATAAGCTAAATCTTACAACCACAAAAAGGTTTTTATTTGTATTAAGATGTTACCACTTTTGACAAAAAAAGCTTAAAATATTTTATATTTCAAAGGAAAATTAGCAACGTAACTATACAGTATATCCTGTGACGGTCTTGTCTGACGGGAGGGCTACTCTACCAAACTCTGGTGCTTGCTGTTGTCGCCAAGTACAGGAACGCAGCTGAAGGCTGGCGCTCTCCCACAAGCTCTCGTCGTGGGCCACAGCTTCGTAAGGACACTTAGGCCCCCATCCCCATTCTAAAAAATACAGCAAAAGAAAACCGACCCCCCAAAATGTGAGGCTGATCCCATTACATTTCTAACGTGTAGAACTTCTGCTCCAGTGGACTGAGGTGCAGTCTAGGGATAGATGATCTGTTTACTGTCTGTACAATGTGCCCAGAAATATTTAATCTTCGTCTGTACTAGATTAGTTTCTTATTCCATGAAGCTCTGAAAGATGGAAGAAAACTAGACCCAGTATTTTAACAGATCTTTCATTTGATTCTATATTTAAAGACAATTAAAATTAAAAGGCATTTCTGAATAATGTCTCAGTACCGAATCCTAGAAAAAGGGTCACAATGAGTATACATATTTGAATGAGCATTTAAAATAAATTATTTTAAAGTTTTATAACTTTCTGAAAAGGAAGTGCTGAAGCATTTTAATTCTATTTGCAAATACAGTTTAAGGATAGTGAGTAAATATACCATTTGTGAAGGCTCTTCCCTAGGAAGAGAATCATTTTAAATTATTGGGAAAATACCTCTGTTTTAGGAAAAAGAAAACCATGAAAACCCTGTAATGTAGAAGTACATTTTAATGACCTTTCAGTCTGAAGTTTTTCCATCAAAAATACTACAGACCTAGGTACGCCAAGTGAATCCAGAACTGGATGGTGTTTTTGTGCTTTCGAAGGGTTTCTGCATCTCTAGTATATATCATCTTTTTTGACTTTTCCATAGACCAGATCTGGCGGGCATGTTACGTTCCTTACTGTAAGGATCTATGTCTTACAGTATTAATAGCGTTTTCATGTTTTTGTTTCTAATCCAAAAGATTAAAGTTATGGCAAACGGATTCATTTTTGCAATTCCTACAACCAACATCTTACTGGTATAAAGCTTAGCCGGAGGGAAGATTCCTTACGATAAACCAGACAGAGTATGTGGCAGACTGCATCCAAGGAGGTTGACCCAGTGGCCTATCAGGCTGCATCACGTGAGTTTGACCTTCAAGGTGGCCACAGCGTAAGCTCCCAGGGAGAACGGCGGATGGGCAGTGCCTAACTTGATGTATATGCTCTTGATCTGGGACTTATTTTGCCAAATTTGGCTGTATGGCTACATTCTAATCACAATAAGGTAATCACTAAGAAAGAAGACAAAGAGTTGCTTTTTAAGAAAAAAAAATCAGCCTTTATGAAAACTTTGCTTTTGAATACAAAAAAAAAAAAAAAACCCACTTAGGTAAGTCCAATAGAACGTACTATTTCTTATACAAGTAAGCATGTCAGTACTTTTACCAAAGTCTGTCTGTAATGAAATTTCTCCTTTTACTAAGAACCCAGGAACCAAATAAGCATAAATTTTGTTTATATGGACTCTAATGAAGTGAATTAAAGAGCTTCTCAAATTAAACTTTAAAATCTCAATTTCAATATTCTCTTCAAAGGATGTATTTCTCCCACTTGCATCCAAAGGGGGAGCTAACTGTGGTGCTTTATCTCTTTCTCACCTTTGAGTATTTCCTAAGACCTGTCAGATGGTGCTGGAAAAACAAGGGCCATTATTGGAGAGGAAGTGTGCTCTGATTATTGCAAGAAAAACCTACATTTGATTGATCTCACCACAAAAATCAGTTTAAAGCCTTTCTTTGGTGATATTGTAGCAGTTAAGGTTACTTAAGGTTATTGCCTAACTATATAAAATTAAATTGCAACCTAAAAAATTCCACCCTCCAAACTGTTAAAACTGTCTCTCTAGCATGATTGTTAATCAACAGTAGAATGTCTTTGGTGATCTCTACTTCTTATGAAAATCTTTCAAAAAGAGATTACTCTCACTTATGAGTGCCTATTTGGATATAAAACCATTCATAAGAGACAGGTACAGAGAACTCAAAAGTTATGCAGCAAATCTAAACAGAAATGCACTTTTAGCAAAAGAGGCACTTTCTCTTAAATATTTCACTAAAGCTAAAGAGTTGACAATATTATGTAACACACTTTCCCCCCTTCAAGAATCACTTAAATTTGGATTTCGTTTTAGTGTATAATGTAGTTGAGTATGGGACAGATTTTTCAATGGATAAATAATACTTTTCTAAAAGTAGTTAAAAGACCTTACCCAAAGTACCCACACCCCAGACTGAATGACCTTATCTTACCTCATCAGTGAGCCTTTTAGTTTATTTTTTATACCTCTTAAAAGTATTCCATTCATCTAGAGAAAAGGCCATATTCTGATTTTTCTGTTAACTGATGTGATTACTTCAGTTAAAGTGGTATGCATGAACCACAGTCCTTCTTTATATCCAAGCCTCCTTGGCCCTCTTATATCTCTGACATCCTAGGGCAGAGAAAAGCAATTACAAAGTCCTTTATGGAAGGTATAGTTCTTTCGGTTTCTTGCTTAAGAGACAACAAATTTAAACAAATTTAATTGAGTTTTGTTCTCCAGTTTTGCAGATTCAGAGGATTATTCCTACAGTTTACTTATGTAAGAGCTTTATTAGCACCCTAAGTTTATAAAACTAACTGCAAAAGTCACCTGTATATGTTTCTTATATCTGGTTTCTTGCAAATTCCTTAAGCTGACTTAGGGGATAATTAGTGTATTGCTCAGACATGAAAGCAGTCCCATACTTAGGAAATTATAGCTGAATATACCACAAGAGGCGGGTTGAAGAAGTCTACAGTTCTGAATAGTAATGCTGTATCACTCAGGATGGTCCTAAACTGTACGTTTCCCTAAATGCCAACTGATGCCCTGCTTCCCTTATGGTTTCCTTTCACATGTTTTGGCACATATTCCACTGCATTTCCATAAAAATGTTAACATGTGAACAGTGAATAAAGGAATTTTACATAAAACGATTCTCAATTCCATAATTGCTTCCTACATATTTCCTTGGAAAACAGTAAAATTACATGTGATGAGGCAGCAACAGACCCAACTTAAAGAGCTCATGTGTCTAAAACTCACTGAAGGCTCTAAGTTTTGGCTGGGGACCCCAAAACACACAGGTCTCATTTGTGGTTTTATTTTAAAATGCACTCCCAATTCATTTTGAGTTAGTTAACTTCCATATGTAAAACACTATTTTAATCACTGACCTAGATGTGACAAATTTATAATATTAGAATTTCCTAGGGATGTCAGGGAATTGGATTTCACAGCACAGCAAAATAATTTCTGTAGCTAGAGAGTAGATGCTGTTTTTGGTTGAGTGTAATGGTCTGTTCTAACCATCTTGAAAGAGTTCACAATAATCTGCCTTTTAAATTCTGCTTCTGAGTCCCTCCAGGCACAAACAGAATCTAACAGAATGAAATTAAGAAAGCACTGCCATAACCTTTTTCACAAAAGTCCAAACAATAACGACAGAAAACTCTGATAGAGACTTCCTGACTTGAAACAATGACACATGAAAAGGTAATTTAGGAAGTTTCAGCCTTTTATAGTGTGAAATGCATCAAGATTTAGCTGTATTTTGTATGTGTTTTTTAGAGTTGTACAATGTTTTATTCCTAAGAAGCATTTTGAGATTCAGAAGGCATTAATCCGTGATACATTTTACTGGAAAATGTAGCACGTCTACAATGTATACAGTATAAAAACTATGTGTGTAACACACAGATTGTGCTCGTGTCAGATTTCTAAAACAGTTTTTCCTAGCTTTCAAGACTTTTACTAAGTTTCGGAGGTTAACTTGTTTATTTTGAGGCAATTAACAAAACTTAATTTCCAAATAAGTTTTTTTGAAAACAACTGTCGATTTAAAGGTTTCAAACGAAGTTCTTCACATAATTTCAGGTAATGAGACTTTCTCTGACTTGCAGACTAATCTCAAAATGAATGGAAGACTTAACAAAACTGCAAAATCAAGGACATTATCCCAGCTCTGACCTTAACGAGTTTATGTATAAAACAATCCCATTTCCCCCTGCTGACTACAGGATCTAAAATGGAATCTCCTCAAATCATTAATTTGGGTTAGCATGTTCACCTACTACACTGCAGTTACTCTATTAGACGCATGTGGTTTGGAGCTGCGATAGGTAACAGTTTTAATTTATAATTGCCTTGAGACTTCTAAAATCCATAAAATAGCTAATGTTATCTGCTCTAAAAATCCTAATATTTAAAATCATCATAACCCTCTGCATGCCACAATGACACACACCTAAGGCCAACTTAAAAAGAGAGACATTCTACTCATTAAATGAGAGCCACAATAGAATGACGCATACATAGAACGGGCTACACAGTGATGTTTCACGAAGCAGCACCTGCTCGTCATAAGGCATTACGAAAGACTGACCTTGCTGATGCAGTAATTTTGTTAGAAGTAAGTGTGGCCAGCTGTCGACCTTTCCAGTGGTTCTGAATCGGACTTCAGTGGTCCACCCGGTCACACACACTTTCAATCTGGAGGGCTAGCATGCCTCCTTGTGCAATGGTAGGTAGACCACACAGCTGGAGGACTTAACATGTCTACAACTAGAATGTGCTCTAATGACGAGAATAATTGGAATTCTTCCCCCAAAGTCTTGCACACTCAAAAGTGAACTATTTCACACAGAAAAAGCTTAGAACAGGACCGTGGCTCAAAAACCACTCTTCTAAATACTTTCCCATACAAAATAACTTCAAGATATAATAATTATTTCTTGTACAGTACTCTATTTAAACAAAAATTAATAAAATATTAAGTATGTGAAAACTGCAACACCACACAGATTGAGTCATATTACTAGTGTAATCAAACGTTAGAACGGTCTTGGAACAGGCAAGCAAAATATCCGGGAGGCTGAATCGTGGCTGCACCCGTAGCTGATTGCAACCACGACTTGTACACTGAGACAGCACAAATACCGTATGCGGATGATTCAGTAGCAGAATGGCACTTGGTTCACTCTTAATAGAAACAACATAAATGCAACTGACAATTTAGAGACAGACAATGGCCTTATTTGCATGCTGAAAATCTGGTTGTGTCCCTCTCGTCCACACACCGTTCCCTGTGCGATCTGCTGATGAGTAAACAAAGAGTGCAGGAGTCATCTCCGTGGGATCTAGGCCCCTTGGTCTAACCGAAATCAATTCTTGGTCGATACTGCAATACCATGGGGTAGGACTATAAAATAAAAACATGATGATGAATAAGACTGTGTTTATATGAAAAATGAAAACAATATAGATTACATACAAAAGCCTTTAAGAATGCAGGATTATTATTTACAATATTTCCTAGTACTACTAGTGATTATGACAATTAAAGACTAGTTACCATTAAAATGCTTTATTTTTAAATTACCATTATTTTTCTAGAATCAGGCAAGTTTTCTCTGATATGTAACAAAGGTCAAGTTCAAAGCCTCACGAGGTCACGCTGGCTGGGTATGAGTCGTACGAAAGTAATAGGGAGGACTGAAGGCTCTGTGCCCTGCTTGAGGGTGTTCGTTCAATCATGTACCTCGTGGGGCTGCATTCCACCCAAGCTGCTGTTTGTGAGGGCCCGCTAGGAATTCAGAGACCTCTTGCTATGAATCTATGAAACTGGGGTAGTTTTCACAAATCACATTTGTTTTTGGTAAGTTTGACACTTTTTTTTTTTTTTTTTAGCATTGAAACTTTAATGGTCCTTTAAAAACTGAAAAACAAGTAGCGAATTGTTACATGGAACATTCAGGTTGCTACCTCCTTTCAACAGTCAGTTGATACTATTATATATTCTGGGTGGACGCACAACTGAAAGGTATGGACTGTTCTTCATTGCTGTGACTACAGACAAGGTACCCCTACATCAACAGACTAGAGAGGAAACTACTTCCTGGGCATAAAAGGCATAGGCCACATTGCCACTTCAGTATCTGTTTTCACCTGCTATTGTACCTTTTCATACAGAACCTAACATCACAAAGTCAGGTCTGGAGAACCACTGGTTTTCCCTTCCCGAAAGCTTCAGATTCCCCCTTTTAAGTGAAATTTCATTGAGAAGCTCCTTTTATGAAACCAAGAAAGTGCTGAGACTGTCATTGATGGTTCCCCTTCATCTCAGTGTAAGTGGACACAAAAATCCAGGCCACGAAATTGTGTACTCTTTCATACAGGTGAAAGGGGTGGGCTGAGGCTCTATAATCCTAAAAAGGACTATTTCTGCCCGTATAGCTAGGTTCTATCCTGAGAAAACTCCTCATTGGTCTTTAGCCATTCAGCTCAGGATGGGACTGGAGGTGGGAATGGAAATTTCTAGGTCTTGCTCTTCCTAGCTGAGGACGTAGGGGGATGCCACCACCAGTTCTGAGGGCTGGAGTAAAAGTCACAGTGTCTCAAGATTTCCACGGTCTTAAATCTATTTTGGTTTATATTTTGTTTACTTGGTTTTATTTAAACTTTGTTCCCTCTGAATGACAATATCTGGGAGAAACAGGAATGTGCATTTTAAAAAACTCCCTGGGTCTTGTGAAACTGAGCCAGCTGTGGAGACTGCTACCCAGACTCCCTACACTCTGCAGTAGGGTAGGATCTTCTTCCTGTTCTGGCCCAGCCCACGGCTTGCCCTCCCTCCGCCACAACAACCTTCCTAGCTTTGTTCTCCATCCCGGACTCTGTGGAGTCTGCACGCTTTCTGCAAATGATTAAGGCACTCATTCTAGAATTCCTTCATAATATATAGAAGAATCCATCAGCAGTTCTACTGGGATGAAGGCAGAGAGGGAAGTAAAATGGCTTGTCGGTGGTCAGGATTTTCTGGTTTTGGTTGAAAATGGTTTGCTTTCTCCAAGTAACCATTTGTGTTTGTTCTATGATGACAGCTGAAGTTTAATCTTACTGAAGTGTTTTACAATGCTGGGAACCACTAAGATCTACTTTAAGTTCTATTTGTATTTCAGTTTGCTTTCTGAAGTAAAACAGCGCTGTGCTTAGTATCAGGGAATGTGGCGCACCACCCCACAGTGTTGAGCGACTGCCCCAAATGGGCCTACTTGGAGAGTTGCTAGTCGTCAGTCTCATCATGTGCTAAAATAAAAGATACTCCCACAGTATCCATTTCAAATGTGATAACTTTGGAAAGTGATAAATCACATCGACCTTGACTGATGTACTGCTTTTCGTAAAAAATCTTTATCATAAAAGTGAATGTGGTTTCATGATAGAGTTGGAAAATACAGAAAAGCACCAAGAAAAAAGGAAACTCCCTTAAATACCACCATCCAAAGATAACTACCATAATTATTTTAGTGTCTATCCTTCTGGTCTGTCTGTATACATATTTTTTTTTCAAGACTGTAATCAAGCTACACATATTGTTTGGTAAATCATTTTGTCCGTGTAAAATTTTAATTTCCATTTAAAAATTCCGTAACTTATTTTGACACCATTTAATATCCTTGATCATTTTTAAAGGAAGAACATAATAGCTTTGTAGAAAAGAATCATAAGTTACCAAAAAATTTCCTTTTGCTGTATATTTTAGTTAATTCCTTTTTTTTTTTTTTTTAATTTTTTAATGTTTATTTGAGAGAGACAGAGTGCAAATAGGGGAGGGGCAGAGAGACAGGAACACAGGAACCTAAAGGAAGCAAGGTTCAGGCTCAGGCTGTGAGGCCTGAAGTGGCTTCGAACTTCTAGCTGTGAATACTTCTTCCCTGAGCAGTCAGAGATGCCAACTGACTGAGCCACCCAGGTGCCCCCCCCCCCCCCCTTTTTTTTTTTTGTGATTATAGATTAATCCTGCCCCAAGGATCAGGGCTGGTTCCTAGAGTGGAACTGCTGGTTCAAACAGCATAAATACTGTCACCCTGAACTTCAGGGAAGTTATTCTATCTTTACGTTTCCAAAAGAAATATAAATGCTCATTCTTCACTGCTCTCATCAATAATGAGTACTATCTTTTCTTCCCTCTTAATATGGCAATTTAATAAGCATAAAATAGTATTTTATTTCTTCTAAAGAAATTAACCATTTTTGAATGCTGATTAGCCAGTTTTGTTTCCTTCTTTTGTGACTTTCCTAAGCAGGTCTTTTGTTCATTTTTCTGTGATAAGTTGAACTCTGTCTTACAGATTTGCATGAATTCTTCCATGTATTAAGGCCATTAAACCTCTCTGCATATACTGCAAATATTTCCTTAGTTATGATATTTTTGCCATGTACTTTTCAATATTAACAGTCAACTTGCTTTGTCTTTTTTTCCTTTTGTATGTACAGTGAAAAAGGCCATCCCCACTCTGAAATTATTCAACTATATTTCTTCTTGATCTTTGATGGTATCTATTTTAATATTTACCACTTTAAGCCATGAGAATCTCCTATAATGTGAGGTATGAACTGAATCTCCATCACCACCACCAAGTCTCAGTAAAATTTATTGAAAACTAACCCTACTAGATCACATCCTCCCCCCAAAATCTATACTCCGAGTTCACCGATTAGCCCTGCCGACTGCCAAATACTGTCTCCGGTCCAGCCCTGCTGGCCTCCTTGCAACCCTCAAACAACCAGGTATGACCACTTCTCCAGATCTTTCCACTGTGTTCCCTTGGCCTGAAGCATCCGATCCCAGATACACACATAGCTATTTCTCTCATTTGCTTTTGATCAAGAACCTCCACCTCAAAGAAGTCTTCCTTTGGCTATCTTACCTAAAATATTCTACTTCCCTACTTTAATTTTTCTTCTAACACTACAAATCTGACTCATTTATTTTTCATCTGTTACCGTCATTAGAATGTAGGCTCTGTGAGGAAGTTGTTCATTTTTACTTGTGTCCTAAAAGAGTACTTGGGCCTAAAAGAGTACCCAGTGCATAGTTAAGTGTTCAGTAGGTATTTGCTAAATAAATCTTTTTTCTTCCACTAACGTGAAATACTCTCTTTACAGATTCATACAATACTAGAGTCTGTCCCTGAGCTATTCTTTTGACTCATATGTCTGTGTTTAAGTCAGTGCCCTATTTTAATTACTTCAGCTTACAAATGCATTTTAGGATGTGGCGGTGCACGTGTCCCCTGATTACCCACCGAAAACTGTGACAGACCAGAAGCACTGGCTCGTACTTCCTGATGAACTTTAGAATGACTGGTTTTGTTAAGTTAAACAAGAATCTGGTAAAAAGTGTGTCTGGAACTATATCAAACTTGATAATTTAATTATGGGGAGAAATGACATCTCTGTAATATTTAATTTACTATTTAAATTTCTTGTGTGTGAAGCGGCATTTGGTTATTTATGAGGAAGTCTTTGATCTTAGGAAGTATATGCTGAAATATTTGGCAGTCAACTGTCATGATGCTTGCAATTTACTTTCAAATAGTTGCACAAAGAAACAATAGACAGAATGATAAAGAGATTCATAAGATAAGGAGAAGGGAAGAGAAGGAAAGAGGGAGCATAAAATGTAGCAAAATGTTAACTGGTAAAATCTAAGCACAAGTAAAGGATATCCCTTTGTATTAATTCAATTGTTTTGTTTTTTGGAAAACTTTTAAAATAAGCCGGTAGGAAAAACTGGGACTTAGTGAATTTTATCAAATGCCTTTTCAGTATCTACTGATGGTTTTTATTTGACTCTGTGTGTGTGTGTGTGTATATATATAAAATGTTTATATTACATAATATATATTACTTCCTTCCCCCCAATATTAAGCCATTCTTCCATTTCTGATAAAAATACTATTTAGTCTTGGTTTATTATTCTTTTAGTATATTACTTATCATCTTTGTACTTGTATTCAAAATGAGATTGATACTGGTTTTCTAGTTGGGGGTTTTCTGTCAGTTTTTGGTATCATGATTATGTTACTTTTGTAAAATAAATTTGAAAAGAATTCCATCTTTTTCAATAATTTAAAACAGTTTACAATGGGAATGATCTATTGCTTGAAAATTGGTGAGAGCATGACCATCAAGCTATTTAGGCATCCTTTGAGGAAGTAATTTTTGAGTAATTATTTTCTTTCATGGCTTACAGATTTAAATTTTCTTTCTTCGTTGGTGAATTTTAGTCCACTGGTATTTTCCTAGAAAACTGTCCATTTGGTGGAATTTAAAAATTTTTTTAATTTAAAAATGAAATCGTGTAAAGAGTATATACATAATATTTTCTTGAAATAAAAAAGTGATAACTTTTCCCTTGAAAACTTGTAGCTGAATTTTGGCTAAAGGTGCATCCTGTTAATCACAAGTTCAACTCTGCGACAGGACCATATACTCCATATAATGAAGTGTTGAAGGAAGAAAAGGGAATTTGTGAGGATTTTGAAAAATCCGATCTTATTCCGGTTCTTCTCTGATACTTTAGATGGGAGTTTAAGAACATCTTTATTTCTAAGGAACAGACATCAGTGCCAAGAGTGAAAGCATAAAACCACACATGTAGGAGTTACGGTTAAAGGCAGAAGCATCACTACAACTCATCATCCCAATATAAGATGTACTTTTATTAGATAACTGGGATGTGCATCTAAGGAGAGTCTTTGTCAGTGCGTTTTAAAACTTGTCCACTATCATCTGTAGTAAGTGACCCGAGCAAGCTCACAGTTACATGTGGCTGTTGCCGCTGCTGAGCCTCACCTAACCCGGCGTTGCATCTTTCGCTTGTAGGGGACTGATTAAAACACAAAAAACAAACAAACAAAAACTTCCACAAAGAAGTGTTAAGTATGGAGCAGAGATCCAATATGGAGCAGAGATTTCTCAAGGGCTGAAACTAGTAATTATTGAAAATTTCTGACTCCTAAATAATGGCCTTAACATTTATAATTTCATTTTTTAGTTCTGTGAAATTAAATAGATAATGCAAGATGACTAAAATAATGGGAAATTTGGGGACGTAAATTGAAAAATGACGTTTTGTAGCTCAAACAAATATTAGTTTGGCAAAGTGACATGTCTTAGAAACTTGAGTTTGGGATGAGAGCGATCACCATCTTGGCGGGCATCGTCAGGGTCATATGTACAGTCGTGAGTGCCTCTTACCTGATACAAAGGGCCATCCTGAGAGCAGACTTGCGAAGCTGAGCAGTTCAGACACCGAAACTGCGGAGGAGATGAACTCATCAGATAAGAGGCATCCACAACTGGATACATATTTAAAACTGATTATTTAAACTATCTTAACGTCAAACATGAGTCAACATGATTAGTTTAAGTAAACACTTTCCAAAATATGGTAGTTGTTTTTGGGGAAAAAAAAAAGATTTTAAGAACTTAGTGGCTGGTAAAACGTAGCTTGAAACAACTTTAGTACCTAAAATATCAGTTTTGTTACTATTCTGCAAATATTTACCAAAATGGTGGCTATCCTTTCCATTTCCTCTTCAAATAATGATTTCTGGGAAAACCCTCACATCTTCAGTCCAGGAGGGGTATTCTCTTTCTTCCACCCCTTCCTGTGATTGATCTCGCTTAGCTCTCTCTCCTTTCCACTACCCGTGAAAGGAACACTGCTTAAGGACCTCAGGAACTCTGAAAGGGGCATGAGGCTTGCCCCAACCTGTAAGAGGTCCATTTTACGTATTAGGCTAGGCTCTTCATGTTGCTCAGATGAGGTGTTAAGTCTCTGTCTCTATTTTAATAGCATGAGATTGTGAGCTCCTTGAGCGGCACACAGCAGCTTCTCACGGAAGGTTTTGTGAGTAAATCAATGAACGAACACATCTTAAAACTACTGAGTGGATTCATCTGTAAACCTGCTAAGTTCTAACAGTTTAACCATTCATATTTAAAGAAAGAAATCATTCCCAAATCTTGATTTTTCAATACTGGGTTAAATACTTATTAAATGTAAACATTACAATTGAGATTATATACTTTAAACTTATGTATATATGAGTTCAACATTGTATGCCTCTTCAAAATGGGGGAAAACGCATAAAAAATATGTGAGGTGTAAATTAACCAGGATAAATCTAGCCAAAGCAAGCCACCTTTTTGAAAGAATATTAAAGTAAGCAATGATTAAAACAAATGTATTGGTGGCCTTTTAAATAAAATGTTAGAAATTATCCATTTCCTCAAAAGACTAGCAATTTTTTCCAGAAGTGAGTTCTTGAATTTGTGTCCAGGGTTCACCAACATGCTGTAAGGATATGCCCTGGCAACCTTCCCTTTTCACTCTGGAGTCCCCATGCTCTGGCCTATCAGACCTTGCACGTCCTCAACTGTGCCGAGTCCCAAACAGCATTTAAGGGAAGAGTTCAGGTAAAAAGAGGCTATTTCACTAGAGTGATGATTATTTTTTCCTATTAATCTCTTTTGGTACCAGCCATGAAGGATGTTTGTTTTTCCTAAAAGTGCTTAATAATGCAAATAACGCAAAGTAAGACAAATGTGGTACAGTAACTGTAGGTACGTCCTGGCAGGGGCTTGCTACAAGACCTAAAATCAACCAGGATCATCTGGGAAAGATGGGCTGTACTGAGACTTAGTATTCAACCTACCCAAGAAAAGGAGAGCAGGAAGAACACGAGCTCATGACGAAAGCTGAGGCCGAATGGGAAGATAGGAATAGTAAGTAAGCTCTCAGGGATGAGAGGAGGTACTAGAGAGAGTTACAATAATAGTAAAATGTAAGATACATAAGCTATTCGTAAACTTACTAACATTTATTATGTCAGGCATTCTGCCACGTACTTTATTACACAGTATTTCATTCTTACTAAGACATTTCGAGACAAGTATTGTTACTCAAATTTTAGGGATCAAAAAACTGAGTCAAAACTAGGAAGCAGAACACAACTGGGAGGAAATGGCTACAACACATATGACCAGAGATTCATTTCTAGAATTCATAAGGAGCTCTTAGAAGTTAGTAAGGAAAAGACAAACACCACAATAGAAAAACAACAAGGCAACTGATATGAAAAGAAACTTCACAGAAGAAATACAAAATTGATAATATGCTGTGTTGGTGAGGGTGTCAGAAAATGGGCACTCTCGTGTATTACTGGTAGAATTATACACTGCTAAAATCTTTTAAGAGGATAGTTATTATCTACCAAAAAGTTAAATATGCATACTCTTGTAAATCCCACACCTGGAATCTAACCAATGAATATGCTTGCACATGTGTAAAAAGATCTATGTACTGGAGTAACTATTGCTTATAATGTTAAAAAAAACCTTGAAAAAGTCTAAATTTCCACCAAAGGAGTGTGTTAATCAGATTATGCTACAGACACACAAATGGAATACTATCAATGTGGTATAAAGAATTGTATCAAAGTTTGTTGATTCTCCATAAGACACATCATCAAATGATAAAAAGTTGCAGAAGAGTACATATGAGTCCGTTTATGTTTCAGAACTGTGATGAACCCTGGATATTATAACAGGATCATGTATTATTGGTGATTAGTCTAGATAACTAAGTCCCTTCTAGACTGAGATCAGATTCTGTGATTCTATACCCTCAATTTACAGATTTGGAAGCCACAGGCAAGCCAGTGGTCATGGATCACGTTTCCTAAAGTTCTATTACTCAAAGGATGGTCCAAAGATCGGATGCACTGGCATTCCCTGGGAGCTTGTTACAAATGCAGACTTTTGGGCCCCACCCCAGACCTACTGAGTCAGAATCTGTATTTTACCAAGATCCCCACATGATTTCTATTCACATTAAAGTTTGAGAAGCACTGGCTTTTAAAAAAGGTACATTTTCTCCCATTCATAAGCAAAAGATGAAACACCAATCCTGAGTATAACATCTTCAGGCGGCAGTATCGTTATGAACTGAAAAATCTCTTAAGGATTTGCTAAGTGCAACCAGATGTTTGATTCCTAATGATAAAAACCTTTTAAAAATGCATCACACTGAAGAATTCAGAAAGTGCTAGGACTTGAGAAAACAGACCGAGTCTGAAGGGGAGCTGCCCCAGGAGGAAGAAGCGGCACCGAGGCCCTGTGGCACCGGAGGTGCGCTGCAGCCCTGGAGAAGCGGAGGCAAAGCTGGCTTTTCTGAGATTCTTCCTGGGAGTCTAGATGTAGTTTTTTGTTTTTTTTTTTTTTAATTTTTTTTTTTCAACGTTTATTTATTTTTGGGACAGAGAGAGACAGAGCATGAACGGGGGAGGGGCAGAGAGAGAGGGAGACACAGAATCGGAAACAGGCTCCAGGCTCTGAGCCATCAGCCCAGAGCCTGACGCGGGGCTCGAACTCATGGACCGCGAGATCGTGACCTGGCTGAAGTCGGACGCTTAACCGACTGCGCCACCCAGGCGCCCCATAGATGTAGGTTTAAAGTCAGGAGGTGACTGGAGTATGACTGGCCTTGCCTGAGGCAGAAGAGCCAGGGGGCAGGGCAGCATCCCGTGTGAAAAGGGAAGACAGCCACAGGGTTTACTCAGAGACCCAGGAGAACATAGCACCTACGAGAAACACCCCACGGCACCAAAGAGAAGAAAACAGTTGCCAAGATGCCAATTCTAGCCAAGTCAACCTAAAAATTTATTCCAATGCCAATCACAGTCCCATTCTAGAGCTCATCTGAAAAAACAAATGGGTAAAGCGAGCCAACACAATTTTTAAAAGGGTAATCAGGAGTAACCTAGGATAGAAGCAACCTATTTGCCTTATAAATTAGTCTGAACTTTATTCAAACTTATCCCAAAGAAAATGGACAGCTTAGGGGCTTTAAATTAGGGGTGGTATGTGATCAGATTTTTATAAAAGCTATATATGATGTGTAATGTGGTGCAGGGATAAGACCCACTCAGAAGAACAAAACTGTCCAGGAACACAATGTACGTACCTGTGTGTGTACAAACATGTACAGGTAACCTCTGCATAGATAATGCTGACAGCTCAAAACACGGAGATAAAGTATGGATTATTCAATGAATGATATTTTTGGCAAAAAAATCTTAGAATAATTTAGTCTTAGTCTTGGTTTATTTTTTTTAATAGAAAATTTTTAAATGTTTGTTTGAGAGAGCGAGAGAGCACGTGTGATCTGGGGAGGGGAAGAAAGAGAGGGGGAGAGACAGAATCCCAAGCGGGCTTTAGGCTATCGGCACAGAGTCCGACACAGGGCTCCATCTTGTGAACCATGAGACCATGACCTGAGCCAAAACCAAGAGTCGGTTGCTTAACCCACTGAGTCACCCAGGAGCCTGAGTCTTAGCCTAGTGGTAGGTATGTGTGTGTAAGGAAATAAATCCCAGGTAGATCAAAATATTGACCGTAAAAAAGTACCAGAAACAAGTAAAAGAATCACAAGGTAGGAAATCAGCTGACCCCAGCAGGAGGCACAGCCAGGTAGCAAAAGCAGTAGATAAGGTGAACTTTTCAGACCGACATCCTGGCATCCCGCTGGCAGTGGAGGGGCACTGATGGGGACAGAGTGGGGGCAGAGATGGGGACAGATATGACTGTAACAAGTACACTAGTAGGGGCTTGATCAAGAAATGACTGTTTTGTTGCTTATTTTTCCATTCACTCCAACTGTCAGAATTCACCAATTATTATTATAATAACTCCTAATTAATTGGAACATGAGCCAAAATTTAAAATCTGTTTAACAGAAAACAAATGGGAAATGGAGATCCAAATAAATGAGATGATCTTTAGGATATATTTTGCATAACTATTACCTTATAAAAGACAAACTCTGCATTTAATTTATTCTTTGAACAAATATTTTTTGAGTATTTGTACTAGGCACTGCTCTAGCTACTGGAGACTCAGCAGGGAACAAACAATCATCCCCATCCTCAGATTACATTTTAGTTGGGGGACAGATAATAACATAACTAAGTGGCATAGTGTGTCAGATGGTATGAAAAAAATACTACGGAAAACAGTCAAACCTGAAAACGGATTAGGAGAATGCCAGAATGGGAGTGGTGGTTGTGATATTAAGGAAGGTCAGAGCCCTCGCTGAAAAGGTGATATAGAAGCAAAATTCTTTTAAGTGAAGAGGGTAAAGAAAATAGGTGGATACCTAGGGTGGCAGGAGAAAGCCTGGCATGTTAGAGGAAACAGGAGCGAGTGGGGTCAGAATGTGATGAGCCAACGGAAAGTAAAGCATAGGATCAGAGAGATGTCTGGGGAAAATGATGGGGGTCGGTATCTACAGGCCCCTGGAAGGACTTCGGTTTTTATCTAAGTGAGATGAGAGGTCACTGGAGAGCTCGGAGCAGAGAAGCGACATATTCTAACTTGTTTTAGGAGGATCACTATGCCGGCCAAAGACAGTATGTGGACCCCAGGTGGAGGCAAGAGTGGAAGCATGGAGCTCAGGCAGGAGATTTTTACAGATGTTCTGGAAAATGGTGACTGTGGCTGGGACCAGAGTGGCAGAGTGGAGGTAGTAAGATATAACTGGATTCTGATGGTGGTGTTCTGATAGCAGAGGTCACAGAATCTGCTAAGGATAGAAGAAAGAAAAAGAAACTGATGAGGACTGACTTCAAGGATTTTGGTGTGAGAAACTGGAAAAATGGGATGACAAATTTTGGAACTATTGAGATTGTGAAGACTGAGGGGCAAACAGGCTTGGAGGAGAGCAAACAAAAAACAGGGCTGTCGTGCTGAAAAAATTAATTGGGCTAATACATTACTTTACCATTGTACTAAATATAAAATGCGGTTAACTTTTCTATTTATTGCTTTCGTTTTTACTGGAATGAAAAATCATAAGGTACCGAACCATTTTTCCAAGCAAGCTTTTATTAAAATATGCCTTAAACAACCAAGGAATTTAAACTGTCAAACACGTGTAATCAGAAACATAACTGTAGTAAAGACTGATTTAACTGATGGTCTATTAATATCAATTTCTATGCATTAGCTCCTTCACACTTTGACATTAAAATAACTGGCAGTGTGGGCGACTGCTGGGAGGGGGGTCGTGTGAAGGACAAGTGAGTGCTGGCAGAGGTCTTGCAGTGGATGACTTCTTACATCTCTTCAACCCTAAGGCAAACCCATTCATAGTGTCTGAAAATCATTAACACATACTTAAAATGCCCAATGACTTATCAAAGAAAGAAAGCTGCAATTATATCGTTACGAAATTATATGTACTATCACAATGTCTAGGCCCCAACTGTGCTGGGTAAGAAAGAACTGACTACCTCTGTTTAGCTGCACCTGGGACCTGAAACACTTTGGCTGGAAGGATTCAGTGAGGGTGATGTATGTAGAACCATTTTTTAAAAAACTATAAAATATCCTCGAAAGTCAAGTAGTAATTTACCAAATACAATTAGATTTGGTTTTTAAAAGATGAGGCTTAGAGAGGTCTAATATGTTGTTCTAGGGCACACACCTCTCTGGTGACTGGTCCTCAAACATCATTTCTTCTTCCCGGTCATGAGAATTCCGCCTCAAAAGGAAGATTTTACCCAAGTAGGACTCAGAAAAAAAAAGTCTGACCTTAGAAGTTAGGTGCTTCGTTTATCGTTATATCAAGACATTTCTGAAAAATGTAGCCAATTATCCTATCCATTGAACAGAACACACAAAAATGATTTTTTGAGGTCTGTTTCATTAACGTTCCATAGATGTTTCCAATCCACACAAGTATGTTTTTGAACCACTGGAATATGGCAACCCTCATTATACTCAGATTCTGTATCACTTGTCCTTGACTGAGGTTACATTTCTTTAGTATTCTTTCATAACTCAGGTTTTCACAAAAATGTAATAAAGCCTAGTTTATTAGAGAGATTAAAACTACAGAGAGTTTAGAAGTATGACATATTATACCATAACCACCACAGAGTCTCAATGTCTGAGAGGACCTTGTAGGTCACCTAGCACAACCTTCTAGTCAATCTCAATGTGTATTCATGGACTCAGATTATGAAGAGAATTTCTGGTAGCATCACCACTACATTCCTCACTGATCTGTATCAGTGTCATGATCCCTAGTCCCTCGGATTTCCATAATATCAATGTAATATATAACTCAGGTAGGATATGCTTGAACCTTCTCATTAACCCTAAGCAAAGATACATTTCAAAATATAAAATTCTCCTTGGGGGTTTCTTGGATTTTTCTCAGGTTTCTCCTTTTAAATCATTTCTCCTGTATTGTCTAGGGTCTAACTCACAATAGTCTAATTCTGGCATCAGAAACCACTGCAAACTCACTTACCCTTTGGTCCGATTTTACACTTTCACGAAAAGGAGGTACCTGAAAAAAAGGATTACCTAGATTCTACCCTATCTGTCCCTTCTAGCACAACCAAAAAATAACATCAATTAGACGTACTAATCATGGCAAAACTTAGTCTCCCCACTCAACTCCATATAGTTAGAAATTCCCATATCTTACTGGGGTTTAAAAGCATTTACATGCCATCTTCTCTGTCTTGAGGTTAGTAGCGTTCTGAACATATTTAGATGGGACTTTTAACTCACCTTCAATATAACAAAACCATATTTAACACAGACCTTGGTCTTGTACTTGGGACCAATTAGCATGGAGTAGCATGGAGTAAACAGTAAAAGGAATCAGTTTCTTCTCTTTCCCAAGCTAGCTTTTTGTTTCTAAGTAATACTGTTAAATATGAGTAATAAAATGACATAGAACTAAATATACACATAGGTAAATATAAAAGCAATTTACGTTTTCGCCTCTTAGTCGCCATCTTGTCATGTAGATGAATTCCATAGTGTGATCCTTCCCCATAATTTCACCATTGCACAGCACATCCAACTTTAAAAAGAATACAGATCCATTAACGTAAGCAGTTCGTGTCTTACACTTTTTTCCAAATTTCAAAAAAAGATTCAAATAGTTATAAAAAATAGAGGTATTATCCATTATTTAAAAAGAGCACTGAATATTTTTATTAAAAGCACTGGTCCATTTCATAAGTATTAACAATTCAGATAGAAGTAACATGAAGGACTGCTTGTCTTGTCCCACATACCTGTCACTCAAGTCTATACACATAATTTTGAAATGCAGTGTAAGATTTTTTTAGTCCATGTCTCTGTGCACTTACAGGTTTAGACATATTTCCATGATTGTCTCTTACAGAATGAGGAGGAACTGTGGAGACCTCACAGCACCTGGGGCTTATGAGCTCACCTCTCAGAATCCTTTCACCTTCCCAAGATTTAGAGGACTTGCTTTCCTCTCATTAGTTTGTATTCCAAGAGGGTAAATGAATGAATGTGGATACAAGATTTTTGGGGACGTCAAGGCATATGAGAACTTCTGGTAATTACCTGTAGCTAAAGTCGACAGAACAGTTAGGACCACGCCACAGGCCTGTGTCTTCTAGGGCTCTCTGGCCTGTTTTGCTTGGTTGGTAACTTGCATAATACTTCCAGGACCCTCTTCTCACCTTGCATCAAACTTCAAAAAAGGTTGCGTGTTTCAAAGCTCACTTTTGCTCTAGAGTTGCAGGAACCAAACAACCCCCCAAATCCTTAATTAAGAAGGCCCCAAGAACTGTGGCTATGATTTGCCAATTCAACAAAACATAAACAAACATTTATCATAGGCCCCCAAAGTAAAACATTTCAGTTCTTTAGCTATTAAAAGCAAACTGATAAGAGTTTAGTTTAAAGTGTGGAAAGGGGGAAGAAGAATGGGTTTTAAATAATTCTGTGTTTGGCTAGATAGAGATTAGAGAGTCCTGAACTTTAAAAGTCTAAAATGAGTAGAGTTCCAATTGTATTACACAAATGTTTAACTAAATTATATTGATTTTTTGATGATTTATGGTGACTTACATGGACCTCAAAATGTTTTTTAGACATTTTTAAAAAGACAAAATAGTTTTATTTTTATTTTTTTAAGTTTATTTATTTCAAAGAGAGACAGAGAGCACAGGAGGGGCAGAGAGAGGAAGAAAGAGAGAATCCCAAGCAGATTCTTCACTGTCAGCACAGAGCCTGATGTGGGGCTTGAACCCACGAACTGTGAGATCATGACCTGAACTGAAAATCAAGCATCAGATGCTTAACTGACTGGGCCACCAAGGTGCCCCGATGATTTTTTTTTTTTTTTTTTAATCTTGCCTGTAAAATAAACTCATAAGCAAAGAAGTAAAGAGATTTAGGATGCAATCCCTAATTGGGTATGCTGCTTCTGTTGTCATTTACAAATGAAACTATCTCCCCCAATGAGCAATGCTGTTGCAAAAGGCTTCAGCTCATAAGTATTTCATTACTACGTCCCCCTATATGTTAAGACAGCAAAATAAGGGAGGAACCAGTAAATCCTTCTAAAAATCACAGGAAAAGTCCTTTACACTGGGATAGACAAGGAGCTGTCAGTGGACTGAGTCTCCTGCCTTGCTGTTTTATATGGAGAGAGATGGTAAGTGCCGGCAGTAAGACTGTGAGAGAAATCATCCTCTCAGCTCTAACAACTTCCTGGAAACTAGAAAATAATTGAGTCACACCTGAAAGTAAGGAAATAAAACTGCATGTGGTATTTTGTAAGAAGATAATAAAGTACAAAAACAGTTTCATTTTCTATTTTCACTGTTGTATCTGTATCTTTTACTTTACCAAGTACATAGGGCTTTGATTAACTCTCATACTTTTTTTCCCTAATGTAAAAGTTGATGTCTCTGGAAATGTTTTAATATGTGTGGGACCAAACCATAGTAAGAATTTTTAATCCATAGATTAATTAGTTGTCTGAGAGAAGTTTTTAAATAAATTTAGGATCAGAGGCTTCCTCATAATACAGTCTTAATACCTGTCAATGCCTATGTTCAAATCCTATTTTATTTCTACTATGATAAACTATTCATATTAATATTACTATACCTAAGCCTGAAGAACTATGTTGCCTTTGATGTCTTTGTTTATACAGAACACTAGTTTGGTCTTTAGTTTTTTCAGAAGCTATTCTCAGAACCCAAAGGGGAGCAAGAGAAAATTAATAGAAGTTGTAAGACTGCCATTTGGGCAGGTGAGAAATGGTAACCGTATCTCCTCATTACGTTATAGCTGTAATTCTAGCATCTTAAACATTCTCTAAACATTGAACACATTACAAGCTGTGCTGTGATCAATATCAGGGCAATTTACCTCTCCTGTAAGGAAACTGGTAGACCGCATTTATGCAGATGCAATTACATTGGTTTTACCTTCTGCTAAACAATATCACTTTTGCAAATCACATAATTAAAGGAACGCTATTTGTAAAACCCCTTTTCATAAAAAGACAATGTTTTACATTCTGAAAAAGAAGTCTATAAAGAATTGGTAAAACTGGATCTCAAAGGTCTCAGATTAAAAAAAAAAAAAAAAAAAAAAAAAAAAAAAAAAAAAAAAAAAAAAAAGACCCTAAAGCATGTTGGCATTAAAGTCCAGTTAGCTGAGATACTTATTTTTGGATCACTTAATATTATTTAGGTATCTCCTCTAATGGTAAAACACTAAATGCATTTGTATGTTTTAGTCAGGATGTTAAAAAATACACATTACATAAACAGAATATTACATTCTCAAAATTAATTTTTAACACGAAAATAACCCGTTTCCACAAAATTATTGTTAATTTTTACTTCTTTTGTTAGAATTTTACTTCAGATTAGAATTATCAAAATGATCAAGATTGTATTGTTAACTTACCTCATAAGAACTTGGAAGTTTTAGTTTTAAACTTAAAAATTTTTTAATAGTTCCCACAGTTACACGGGTAGAACATCGAATGAATTTCTTCATTAAACCCTAAAGGAAACAGATTATTAGTTAAAATATATCTTGTAATGAAACCACAGGTGTCATTTCCCACTATCATTTTGAGGATTTTCAAAATATATTCTGAAAATGTTTCAAATTATACTCTTTAGTATTACTAAATAAAAAATGTTTCTAATTCTTAGATACTTACATGGTATTCTTCAAGAATGTACTATTATGTACACTCAGAAAATCCTGGGAAACTGAAAATCTTCATACCTCTAGACATGTCTAGAAATGTCTAGAAGTATGCAGATTGTCAATTTGTTAACAATGTATTATGAATTTAATCAAAAATAAAGGTCACAAAAAGAATATAAAATATTTTATTAAAGAATGTCACTTCTAAAAGAATTAGGGATATTTTTTAAAAGTCTCAGAAACTTTTAAATATTTTTTAAAAGAGCAGTGATCTCAGATGGGGCCATAAGGAGCCCCAGAGTTCAGTAGAGGCCAGTCAGGCGACAAGACCCCTAGCAAGTAAAAGTCATGTGGAACGGACTCTGGTTCTGGAGAAACATGTCCCAGTCAGTGTCTGATGGGCTGTGACTACTTTACTGGAAAAACATGTTCTTTGTACCTGGATTTTTCTCATTTTATTAGCAGTACTGACTTACTCTTTTAGCATGAACATCACTAAAATATATGAACCAATCCAGAATGAATGCTCAAACTAAAATTAGTCAAAATGAGGTGTGGAGACATGATAAACACGAACCAGTGTGTGAAACAAAATTACATCTCCAAACCTTAAAAGTTTTCAACAGTAAAAGAAAAACCAGCAACTGAATCTTTTAAAGGTATAAGGTATTACTTCTACTTATATATACAGGATATTCTTAAATTCACTAAGGCCAAAGTAGAGCCATCCAGTCAGTATGTATTCTTAGCAAATGTGTTCCTGGCAAAATATATTTCCTAGCAAAGACCAACAGAAACAAATTTACAAATGATACTTAGTCACTATTTAGATGGTAAAGTAACCATTAAAAGAAAACAGAAGTCTGGGGCGCCTGGGTGGCGCAGTCGGTTAAGCGTCCGACTTCAGCCAGGTCACGATCTCGCGGTCCGTGAGTTCGAGCCCCGCGTCAGGCTCTGGGCTGATGGCTCGGAGCCTGGAGCCTGTTTCTGATTCTGTGTCTCCCTCTCTCTCTGCCCCTCCCCCGTTCATGCTCTGTCTCTCTCTGTCCCAAAAATAAATAAAAAACGTTGAAAAAAAAAAAAAAAAAAAAAAAAAAAAAAAAAAAAAAAAAAAGAAAACAGAAGTCAAAAGTTACATCTAAAGCAAAACACACACTAGACATTTCAAATGGAAAGACTGATACTCTAGATAGCGTGAAAATGAAGGGATAAATATTCACATAGATCTTCCCTGTTATCTATTCCCATCATCTAAACTACCCCAATGTTTCCAGTCTATTGTTCCAAATGGTTTATAAAGAATTCTTGGTACATTTTATAGGTCCCAGTTAAGTTAGAGTATAATGTGAAGGTACTAGAAGACCCTCTAAGTATATTATCATCTGCAGAGAAATCTCAGCTTGTTGAAATAACCTACAGAAATGAACATGGCATCACTACTTTTTGGAAATTGTTAATAAGGAGAGAGCTGTCAGAAGAGTTAAGAGAAGATTTTAAAAATGAGGCAAAAGCTGGTCTCTGGAATTTATAACTCAATAAACTTTGACATTATTCTCTAACAAAATTCCAGCCTGAATTATTTAATATTTGATTTGTAAGTACTTAGAAAATGACAATGTAACAATTATGCATTCTCCCTCCACAGAAACATTTTACAATTATACCAAATTAATCTTGCTGTTTCCTAGATAGGTACACCTAGAAACTGCTATACAGACCTCTGAATCAACAAGTAATCAACACGTTTTAAGAGAGGCAATGACAAGAGTGCTGAGTAGATGACCAGGAAGAGATGATCCTAAGAGCAGTGCATCTTCCCGGCATTCCCTTTCAGAACACACAGAAAATGGAAATATCTGGACTACACACAGGGGGTTAACGGGAGACTGCTGGCTGGGACAGCAGCTGTGTAGTCAGCTGCTCTGGTGGGATCAACATTTCAGGCTCCCCTGTATATCTGAAGAAATATTACCTTTCTCTTGCATGGCACAGTGCCTTGCCTTCTAACCTGCTCCCTAAACTCAAACCAGAAGAGGAACAGTTAAAAAAAAAAAAAAGGCTCCTTTCTGCTTCTAAGGTGGTTACCCTAGAGGCACTTCTACTTTTTTTTATCTCTTGGTTTTAAAAGATGTAAGAGACTAGATTTGAAATCAGCTAGTGGTCAAAAATCATGAGTTATACAGGTTTCCAGTTATGTAGAATACAATGCAACAAATTCTAGTTCTTATGATAATGATTATTTGAGGTTATTTTTTTAAACCCAACCCCCTGTTTCTTCTGTCATCTTCGGAATGGTAGGGCTAGTATCTTCACCAGCTAAAACGGCTATCAAGCTTGACTTTTTTTTTTTTTTTTTTTTAATTTGTAACTAGGTGTGGTGATGGATATATATACTTTTAAAGTTTTTTAAAGTTTATTTAGAGAGAGAGTGTGAGCAGGAGAGGGGGAGAGAGAGAGGGAGAGAGAAACCCAAGCAGACTCCGCACTGCCAGCACAGAGTGTGACATGGAGCCTGAACTCACGAACCGTGAGATCATGACCTCAGCCGAAACCGAGAGCCAGACGCTTAACCAACTGAACCACCCAGGCACCCCGACTTTAACTTTTTTTTAAATTGAAATTCAAATACCATAAAAGTCACCATTTAAAATGTACAATTCAGTAATACCAGTATATTCATGAGGTTATGCAACCATTACCATTATCTAATTCCAGGGCATTTCATTACCCCACTAGGAAACTTACTTATTAGCAGTCACTTCTCCTTCCTTTTCCCTAGACCTGACAAAAGCCAATCTACTTTCTGTGTCTATGGACTGCCTTTTCTGGACATTTCATAGCAATGAAATCATACAATATGTGGCCTTTGTTTCTGGCTTCTTTCACTTGGCATAATGTTTTCAAGGTTCATTCATGTCATAGCATGTTACAGTATTTGATTCTAGCTTACAGTTTATTAAAAACTATCATATTTTCCTTTTTGTAAAAAAAAAAAAATTACCTGCATCCTAGTGGGTGTGAAGTGTCATGTGATTTTGGTTTGCATAGCCCTAATGACTAATGATGTTTAGCATCTTTTCATGTGTTCATTGGCCATTTGTACATCTTCTTTGGAGAAATGTCTATTTAAATCCTTTGCCCACTTTAAAAAAATGGGTTATGTTTTTGTTGATTGGTAAGAGTTCTTTATATATTCTAAATACTAAAGATTTATCAGATACCTGATCTGCAAATACTTTCTCCCATTCTGTATGTTGTCTTTTCACTTTCTTAGTAGTTCACAAATGAGATCATGACCTGAGCTGAAATCAAGAATCTGACACTTAACCAACTGAGCCACCCATACACCTCCCCCACCTTTTTAAGTAGGCTTCATGCGAAGCTCAAAGCCCAGTGTGGGCCTTGAACTCAAAACCCTGAGATCAAGAGTTGGATGCTTAACTGACTGAGCTACCCAGGGGGCCCTGATAGTGTTCTCTGAAAAGCACAAAAGTTTTTACTTTTGATAGAATCTAATTTGTCTATATTTTTTCTTTTGATGCTTTTGCTGATGGTATCATTTTTAAGAATCTACTGCCAAATCCAAGGTCATGAGATTTTATCTCTATGTTTCTTCTAAGAGTTTTACTGTTTTAGCTGTTACATTTAGGTATGGGTCCATTTTGAGTTAATTTTTGTATATGACATGAGGTAGAAACCCAACTTCATTTCTTGCATGTGGATATTCAATTGTTCCAGCACCATTTCTTGAAAAGACTATTCTTTCCCTTGAGTTAGCTTGGCCCTCAAGTCAAAAATAAATTCATAATCGACACGTGTGTTTATTTCTGACCTTCAATTCTTTTCACTGACCTATATATCTACCCTTTGTCCAGTACCATACTCTCTTGATTACTGTAGTTTTGAAGCAAGTTTTGAAAACGGGACTTTGAGTCCTCCAGCTTGTTGTACTTTCTCAAGATTGTTTTGACTGTTCCAGTTCCCTTGGATTTCTATAAGGGAAATAGGATCAGCTTGTCAATTTCTGTAGAAACAGCAGTTAGAATTTGGGCTAGGGTTTTCACTAAATCTGACCAATTGGGGCAGGACTGCTGTCTTAACAATATTAAATCTTCTAATCTATGAACATGGGATATATTTCCATTTCTTAGGCCTTCTTCATTTCTATTAATGTTTTGCAGTTTTAAGCATATAAATCTTATGCTTTCTTAAATATATTAAGTATTTCTCTTTTTGATACTATTAGTGGATAAGGGTTCCAATACATCTGTCATCCTCTACATCCTCACCAACACTTGGTATTTTCTGTTTTGTTTTTGATAGTAGCCATCCTAATGGGCGTGAGGTAATATGTTATTGTGGTTTTGATTTTCATTTCTCTGATGATTATTATGTTGAATATTTTTTCGTGTGTCTGTTGGCCATCTCTATGTCCTTGGAAAAATGTCTATTCAGGTCCTTTCTCCATTTTAAAAAATTGGGTTGTTTGGTGTTGAGTTGCTTAAGTTCTTTATATATTTTGGATATAAACTCCTAACAGATACATCATTTGCAAATATCTTCTCCTATTCAGTAGGTTGCCTTTTTGTTTTGTTGGCAGTCTCCTTTGCTGTGTCAAAGCTTTTTATTCTGATATAGTCCCAACAGTTTATTTTTGCTTTTTCCCCCTTGCTCAAGGAGACATATCTGCAAATATGTTGGAAGAATGATGTCCAAGATATTACTGCCTATGTTTTTTTAGAAAACATAGAATTTTATGGTTTCAGATCTCACATTTAAGTCCTTAATCCATTCTGAGTTTTTGTGTATGATGTAATAAAGTGGTCCAATGTTATTCTTTTGCATGT